TTCTTTTCTACCGTCTGTCTTTTTCTTTGATAAGAGAATTTCTACCTTTGCCTGCCCAGTACAGTCCTGCTGCCAGCCCTTTCCGGCTACTCAGCAACGGTATAGTGGAATGAAGACCTGTAATTTTGTTGATCAACCGGTGATTGAACATAAGTGGATCTGAATATTTTAGTCTATTCCATGCAACTTGAGGGCAACAAAGAAAAAAGGACCAGGTTATAAAATTTTGAAAAGTATAAGGCTTTTATTTGACTGAGACATTTGCCATGGGTGTAACCATAGCAGATGACTGACACCACAAAAACTCTGAGCTGATGTAGCTATAAACTAACAGCTAACTGAAGCTAAGGGAGGTTAGCGGACCCTCTCAGCTCGAAAACCACTTTTGAGCAACTCTGCCACCCTTTGCGTTCTAGGCTGTAACACTTTTCACATGAGGCTGAGGCCTTCCATGGGAGGGCAAGCTGCTAGCGCTGATGGCTCATCTGTTACCTGTTAATGAAAAGGACACGCACCTAATTATTCATAATTTCTAACTTCGATGATATCTAAACAGATGAGCTACAGAAAAATCCACCCACCTCAGATAAATTGACCTATTAAACCCAAAATTATTATTTTTTGTTTCAGATTGTAAACATGTTTATTTCTGCTGTGAACGGCGTTAACATGCTCCATTTTGGATCCAGCACCTAGTGGATAAAGGGGGAGTTTACCCCTTGGTTTTACACAATAGAAGCATAATTTCGTGCAAATGCACATAGATAATATTCTGGTAGGCAATATGTTTCTTCCATGTTCACTGCTGTGTTTTAAAAAAAAGTAAAATGTATTTTCTACATACTTTACTTGTAGGATGCTCTGTAATTTCCAGGATGTGAGGTTTCACTGAAGATGTTGCTTTTTACTCAAATCGATTATGTTTTAGTCCTTGTAGTATCTAAGAAAATAAATTGTTCTCAGACATAAAGGCAATAGTGATGATGATACACTTAATGTGATCTGTTTGAATCAGTCCTCATACTGATGAGTGATGCTGTGAATGCAGCCAGTTGTGAAGTTGATTACCTTCATGTCTGAGAAGGATAACTCACATTCACAGAAACCCAGACCTCCCTCTACTGCAGATGTCACATGTCAGCAAAACCAAAGACGCGTTTAGTCACATCCCACATTTTCTTATGCAAATTCCCTATTTGCATTCTGGATTTCTGTACCTGCTCATATGGATTTGAGATGAATGTCTCACTGCAGGTTTACCACCTCCCTTTTCTGAAAAGCTACATCGTAGCTCATCCCCTTCAGTGTGTGGATGTGTGAATGACAGATTTCTTTGGTATGTTCTTTCTGTGTTTGGCTTTTAATTCCATTTTTTGGTTCTTTTTTAAAACACAGGACAGGTTTCTCTTTACCTTGCTGAAAGTTTCGTTTGCCGACTGCAAAACATCCTCAGAGCTGACACTGATGGTGGCGTCACTTCCTACTCCGTTTATCCACGGGCAGCAGAGGACATTGCCGCCCTCCGCTGCCCCCTCTCCGATGATGCAGTCCCATGCGCGATCCAATGTGTAAACTCCATCGCTTCTGTTCATGGTCTCACATCCACGTCTCCTTATCTCGATAGCTTCTTTTGTCCATCTTTTGTATTTCTGTTGTTCGGTGTTTATGATCCTTGTGTTGTCCCAGTCCATTATATGGTTTTCTCTTGTGCAGTGATCTGTTACAGCTGACTTCTTTATTGTACTTTCTGCTTCTTCTTTTGCTGCTCTTGTGTGTTTTCGACTTGTTTCTTTCTCGCACTCCTTTCTATGTTCTATTGTTCGTGTGTTGAGTTGGCGTCCGGTTTCTCCTATGTATGTTTTATAGCAGAGTTTGCATGGGATTTCGTAGATGACTCCACATTTAAGTCCAGCTGGTATCTTGTCTTTTGGGTGTACTAGTCTGTTTCTAACTGTTGTGTATGGTTTTGTTGGTGTGTTTATGTTGTGTTTTTTCATTGTTGCTCTTATTTTTTTCTGTTATGCCTTTGATGTATGGTAGGTTATCACTGGTTTTTGTTCTTGTCTTTCTGGGTTTCTGGTTCTTTGTTTTGGTTGTTTTTTTTCTTTCTGTTTTTGTTTTTTGTTTTCCTTTGTTTATCGCCCATGTCTGGTACCCGCAAGTCTTTAAAGCATGTTGTACGTGTTTGTCCTCTTGTTTATGGTTTCTCTTTTCTGTTAACATGTTTGCTCGGTGATATAATCACTTGTAAGTCGCTTTGGACAAAAGAATCTGCTAAATACATAAACATAAACACATAATGCTCTGATTACTGACATTTTGTGTATGGTGGTGTGTTCTGATGTCCATAATAGATATTGGTCTGTGTGTGTTGGTTTCCTGTATGTGTTTATGTTTAGGGTTCCGTCGGTCTGCCTGGTTATTTTCATATCCATAAATGCTATGCTGCCTTCTGTTTCTGACTCACATGTGAACCTGTGTCGTCAATGTTATTCAAGTGTTGTGTTACTGTTTCTGTTTGTCCTTTTGGTATGATTTCCAGTATGTCATCTATGTAGCGTTTCCATTATTTTATTTTGCAGTTGGGGGGGGGGGGGGGGGGGGCATTGGCTATGGCTTTTTGTTCTAGGTCTTCATGGTGGCACAGTGGTAAGCACTGTTGCCTTGCAGCACGAAGGTTGCAGGTTCTAAACTCAGCTGCGGCCTTTCTGTGTGGAGTTGCGTGTTCTCCCCATGCATGCGTGGGCTTCCTCCGGGTACTCCGGTTTCCCCCACAGATCACAACATGCCCTATAGGTTATAAATTGTAAGTCGCTTTGGATAAAAGCGTCTGCTAAATGAATAAACATAAACATGAAAACTCGCACATGGTGGCTGATAATGGGTTACCCATGGCGAAGCCTTCCAGTTTTTTGTATATTGTGTCATTGTATGTGAAGTAAGTGGAGTTAGCTACCAGTCCTATCAGTTGCGCTATGTCATCTGCTGTGAGGTTTGTTCTTTTGTGTAACGTATTTTCCTGTCTGATTCTGTTAACTACTAAGTCTATGGTATTTTGGGTTGGTGTCTTTGTGAACAGGGATGTGATGACATGTGAGATGAGTATGTTGTTGTCTTCTATTGTAATCTTTTTTAGTTCTTTTGCCAGTTCTATACTATTTTTGGTCTAAGTGGGGTGTTTTGTTTGTGTATTTTTGGTGTTCCATAGATTCTTGGTATTGTGTTTGCTGTAGGAATCCAGTGTTTGTACATTTTTTCTGTTATTTTGCCTTTTTCTTGTAGTGGCTTCAGTAATTTTTTCATGTTGTTCTTAATGTTTTTTGTTGGGTATTTTTTAAGTATTTTGTATGTATTTTTGTCCTCTAGCATCTGTTTCATCCGTTATTTTTCTTTGTCCATTACTACTTTGGTTCTTTCTTTGTCTGCCGGTAGAATAGACATCCCTCGAAGAGAAGGCAGGAAGCTGAAATACTTATTTGCATCTAAGGTTGATGTTTGCTTGACTCTTAGACAGTCGGTTGTCTGGTTTGCCGCAGCGTTGCAGAGAGGCTTTGACAGGAGGTCAAAGGGGAAGATGTTTCAAAAATGCTTCTTTCCCGAATTGGCCGGTTCAATGGTCAGCGAGAAACTGAATTAATCGGGAAGTAATTCTTGTTTTAATAAACTACTTTGTTATGATTTCTGGCCAAGTTTGGCAAATCAGAGTTTGACACGTTTGAGTATTTACCAACATCCCTCAGAAAGCCACGCCCTCCTCAGATACAAAGATGTTTTTAACACTGTGAATGAGAATGATCAAAACCTTATGTGAGGTGCATTTTCAACTTAATGAGTGTCTTATTGTAATGTGTATGAGTGTAAACAATGATGAACTTGTTAAGTCAAACACACAGTGACTTTTAATATAAATGGATCATTGTAAGAACAATATTCATTTCATTTAAACCTCTTGTTCATTTATCACATATGATTATTGTAAGCTTATGAGTTGTAAAAGTCATGGAGTCTTCTCTTGTTCAGAGTGAAGAATGTTGACGTCTGGCCTTTAGAGAGAGTGTAGGACCTTGGGAGAGAATGTTTGTCTGGATGTTTTGTTTTCTGTATGTAAATGTAACTGGATTACAGGATACAATAAGATAATTAAAAGAAAAAATAAGCAAATGGGCCAATAGTTAGGTTCAGAGAGAATTGGGAGTTGTTTAAGAATGTCTGGAGTCACAGGTGTAGTATGAAATGGTTTGTATACCAACATTTTAATAATAATTGGAAATATAACACATAAAGATAACACAGAAAATAAAAAAAAAGAATCGACAATATTCTGATGGTCAGTATGAGATTCGATCATGTGAATAAGTCTGACGGTGTCAAGTCAAATCCCCACGATTGGAGTAAAAGTCAAGAGTCCAGTGGTACGATTTTTCCTACCGCACTGTTCAGATTGTTCACAGAAGAGAGCAGTTTGTTCTTCAGCCACTTGAGATGTTCTGGTTCGTTCAGTGGTTAAGGCTCACCATCTCCCTCGTCAGGAAGGACTGTTAGCGATTGGGATCGACTCTTCTCATCACATTACAGCATAAAGTCTTACAGACTTAAACAAATAGCCAATCATGTTTGGGTTCACAGTTCACAGTACAACTAACATAACCTCAATTGTTTCTTTTCCAAATCAATTTGATTGTATATTAAAAATAAATCTCAGTAGCTCTGGAAATACAATTACATGACAACAAATTGTTCAGTTCAATAGGCTCAGTTAGATTCTATCGTTCTACATTGTTCGACAAAGAAATACATTCATGACAACAAGGATACATTTGGTTGTATATCTGTAATAAAATAAATAAAAAAATAAAATGTAAATAAATAACTAATTTTTATGATAAAAAAATAAAATATAATTTCTTGTCTTTGGTTTATTTTGTTCCTCAGCATAGCACTATGAATTTATTTAACACATAAAATAATTATTTCCTAATCAGTTAGTTTTTATTTATTGATTTAATTAATGTTTGGTTACGACATGCATCGCTAATTCTATGGCATTTAGTGATGTGACGTTCATGAACAAATCAAAGCTTTTGAACGGGTTTTCAAAGTAAACGATGAGAGCCGAGTGCCTGTAGAGAGCCGTTCATCTTGGCCGTGTTCGAGTAGAGATGCGCCTCGCCTGGAAAACAGACAAGAGCTGGGGGAGTGGCTGAAAGCCGGCGATTAAGTCGGACACAATTTCCTGCATGTGTAGCTCACAGGTGACGATGGCTAAAGATATCGCGTTAGCGTTCATATTTGCGGATGGAATAGATGCAGATGAAATACCTATTCTTCTACAAGAAAATGGAGTGTGTGTGTGTGTGTGTGTAGGTGTGTGTGTGTGTGTGTGTGTGTTGTAAGTCGCTTTGGATAAAAGCGTCTGCTAAATGAATAAACATAAACATGAAAACTCGCACATGGTGGCTGATAATGGGTAACCCATGGCGAAGCCTTCCAGTTTTTTGTATATTGCGTCATCGTATGTGAAGTAAGTGGTGTTAGCTACCAGTCCCATCAGTTGTGCTATGTCATCTGCTGTTAAAGTAGTAGAACGCCAAATACAACCGCCATGTGCATTTGTTTCTGTTTCTTTGTTTAAGATCTAAAAACTCATTTGAAAATAGTCCAAAAGTTAAACAAGGCTGCATATTTCGCCTTTGAAGATACTGCTTCAGATGTAAATTAGAATAATGTGCATATAATTTCTGTCAGGTCTGTGCCAAAAGTTAAACACTTTGTTGAGAATGTTATTCCTTTTTACCGTCATTCTGACTTTAAAAGCCACTTCAGACTTTCCAGAGGACAAGTGGAGGTAGGCTTTTGTGATGGTCACCACTACTCATATTTGCTCAGACATCATGTTCACTTTCTGACTTTTCCATTTAGGATCTAGTGATGGCACTGGGACCATTCCACATGAACAGACAGCACACCAAATTACCCCTGTCCAAAAGTGTTCTTGCCTGTCTGTGGACGCTGGAAAATCAGGAGTCATACAGGGGAGTGGCGGACCGTTTTAACATATCCAAATCTACAGTTTTTGCACATCTCCATCACTTCTGCTCCCTGGTCATCACACATTTGTCACATTACATTTCTTGGCCTACTGGTGAACAGCTTCATACCTCACAGGTCGGATTTCAGAGGGCAGATTTTCCAAATACAGTCTGTGCCGTTGATGGATGTCACATTCCCATTGTCAGACCAAATTGCAATGATCCCACAGCATACTATAACAGAAAACAGTTCTATTCCATAATCCTCACTGGGTTTGCAAACAGCAATCGCCGCTTCTGTCATGTCAGTGTGGGCCACCCTGGCAGCTGGCATGATGCAAGAGCCATTTGCCACACAACTGTTGCACACCTACTTGAAGAAGACCCCCAGGCTCTGGTCCCAAATGGCATGCACATCATTGGAGATTCAGCTTACCCCCTATTGCCACGGCTGATGAAGCCTCACAGGGATAATGGGCACATCACAGCCAGCCAAAGGCACTTTAATAGAAAACTGAATGTGGCGCGTGTTGTCATTAAACATGCATTTGGCATGCTGAAAGCAAAGTTTAGGAGGCTCAGATGTCTTCACGTGAAAGGCATAGGACATATTAGTGCAACTGTGACAGCATGCTGCATTCTGTACAACATTTGTTTGGATCCTAGTGACCATGTGGAGGAGGATGAGCTAGAGCAGGACGAGAATGATCCACATCCACCACAACCCAACAATGAAGATGCTTCAAACTACAGAGACAGGATTTGTTCCCAGATTTAAGCTAGCCCACCCTTACCCCAGCACCTTATCCAATGTTTGGTTTTATTTTTCATTCCCACACATTTATGTGAGCTAGTGTGCTGTATGCCACAGGGTGATTTGATGCACCTTAAGTGAAATCAGTCTGCTCTCCAACTCCTAAATCTGTACATTAAGTTTTAAACAAAGTGCATCTCTATCATCAAGACTCCTGATGTGCCTCCCAGTGGCAGCTCATGGAAACTGGGTGATATGAACCCAGGCAAAACCATCAGGGGATCTCGGAGCATCAGTGGTGCCTAGAGGCAAAGTGGCATTACCGTTAGTAATTTGACATGCCAACCACTGCTCCAATCCTTTAAAGATAAGAAAAACAAAAATACCTTCAACGCTCAGATATACATTTTTATTTTGAGTGTCCTTCTAACAAACTGATACGTTTTTCTTGCTGCTTTCCAAGTTCTTTTAACTGATTCAGAATTTGACCCATGCATGGAATGACTTGTTTCTCAAACCCCCTTCTTCTTTTTTTCTTTCAGCCGTCTCCAGTTGGCCAATTCTGGTCTTGTAAGTGACTCCAAGGCAGTGGTCCTGCATTCAGCATGGGCCTCATAGGACTGAAAAAACGCTGGGAGATGAGCATTCTTGCTTCTCTTAGAGCCAGAAGCTTTTCTGTCCTGTATGGCCGATGAGGGACCAGGTTGCTCTTCGGTTTCAGCAGGTGATGACTGAGCCGCTGAAGGATGGGCTTCTTTAGGAAAGAGGGGAGTTGAAACAGCTGTGCCAGGTGGTGCACTTCCCACCGCAGTGCGACCAAAAAGTTCATCCATTTGCTGACAGAAGAGGGATAAACTATTTTCATTAGTTATTGTAGAACTTTACTGAAGACTTTTAATTACAAATAGTCCTTTTTGTCCAAAGAAATGGTCCGAGCACTTACTGTGTAATAGTCCCAGGTAATTTTCTCCCCTCGTGTCAGTCTACTTCTGTCTTAGGCTCGTTTGTATGTGGTTACCATGTTTCCCAGCTTTTTTCTTATTTTCTCGTTAGTGAAGTTGTATTCTCGTCGAGAGAATTCCTGTTCCAGCTTTTTATAGAATAAAGGTTTGTTACGGTGATAGAGATGCTGATGTTCTCTTGTTAGCTCTAGAAGCAGCAGTGTAGTACTGTGTGTGAATTCTGTCCAAACAAAGAACTGTTATAGGGCAGCATCTTCAAAATATAAAGTATTAGTATCCAAAATACCACTGTACCTGTCGGTGGTCCATGGCATTCTGGCTCATTGGATGGACATGAAGATTGCAGTCCCTTTGGAGATGTTTTAACAGAAGTAATGCACTGGGTGAGTGGGACAACTGACTCACTCTGACCTGGGATTTTGGAAAGTTGAACCTGGGCAACTTGATTAGGGTGCTGATTGAATGTTTGAACTGACTGAACAGATGTGCTCAAGGTTGAAGGTTGAGTTCCTGCTATGGGACTAGGGTTGATGGACACTGGCATCTTGGTAACAGGGGTGGGACACTGGTCTCTCAAAAGTTGACCAGTGGACAAAGGTGGGTTAATTTGTGGATTTCCTGCCGATGCTACCTAAGGTTACAATTGAAAACATATTTTAACCACACACACACACACACACACACACACACACACACACACACACACACACACACACACACACACACACACACACACACACACACACACACACACACACACACACACACACACAGTGGAATACTAAGGGAAGTTTACCTTGATTCTGGTTTGCAGCTCTTACTTGCTCCATTATGTATGTTACATAGTTGTTATCTGAAAAATACAACCCAACATTTCACTCTTTTGATAAAGCTTATAATTAAAGATTAATCAGGTGACTGAGCTATCATTGCACATCATTAACTTCGTTTCTTCCTAGTTGTGATGTGTCCTCTTTCTGCATGCATCATCAACCTTGGAGGCTGGAGTTAATAATGTTAGAAATATATTGAATAGAATCTGTAACTTACCATTTTTTATCATGTCGGCAGTTTGTCTGCTCACAACCAGTTTAAGGGTGCCGTTGCTGTCTGTCAAACACACAGCAACTTGATCCATTTTTCTGAGAACAATCCCTATTTTCAGGAGCCTTACATAGCAAATTGGTTGAATAGCTAAGTGGATTCACACTGTTACTTCTAATCACCAAAACATTGTACCCAAATAATATTTATTGCAGGAGTGTGTTCTGTGACTTTACTGATGGTGGAACTTATCATGACATTTGTTTCTTCATTAAAGCTTATGGTGACATAACCAATGACTGTTGCTGTGTCTCCATTCAACATTGAGAACTCAACAAACTGAGAAAGCTCTATGGAATGAGAGGGTGAAATGTTGTTAAAGAAATAACATAGTCCAGTTGCTGTTTGACAACCTTTTTAAAATAACTATGACCTGGATGAGTGAGAACCTCCACAGATATCAATAAACTCAGCAATTGTTCGAGTGTGACTCATTTTGCTGTTCACGTTCTATTTCCAGGAACATTAATATATGTTTATTACAAAGAAAACCTGAGTGAGCATGTTGTGTGTGTGATGTGCTGCTAAACAATAAATCACAAATATAATAAACAGTGACATTTTGCTTCATAGATAGCTGATAAACAGTATGCATAGTATAAAAAGGTGCATTTGGCTGATACAAGTTATGTTATTTTTGCTTCTGAGGTGTTTAAAATGTAAGGATAAGTCTGAATCAATTCAATAAGATTTCTGCTATGTTAGAATTACACATTTTATTGTAAAGAAAAAGTAAAATTCTGGTGCCTGTTAGCAGCTGAAACACATCCTCACATGCTTGTGGATAGAATGTAATGTATATAGAGACGTGACTGTAATAATAAGTAAAGGTTATCAGCTGTAGGTTTAGTGTGCTTAAAGGAAACGTGCCAAAAGAACACAAAACACATTTCTCTTCATGGCCCATATTGTTGTCATCATCAAAACCTGATTTATAGCTACAACTAACATTTCATGTTCTACCACCGGATGTTTGGATCAAAATATGAACCAATCAGATCTTAGATCAGGTGAGAGCCAGGCGTTTCCCGTCATCCTCTAGGGTTTGCAGCCGGTGGAGAGCAACTGCAGCGCCTTGCTCCAAAATCTGCGGCCACCTTGATCTCACGAGGATATCGTTTCCTACGTATGCATGACGTCGGAGCAAGTCGGCATCAAGTTGCGCAGAACTGGCTCATCTCTAACACGGCCCTTGTCTTCCAGTAACAAACCTCCCCGGAAGTCGGTAAAGCGCACCCGCTCAAACCCCACCCACCGCTGTGACGGACGTAGGAGGAACCCCAACCAATCCCGTGAGCTTTCACGGTCACCACAGGAACACATTGCTTTCTGTATCTGTGTCGCTGTCCAGACCCATGAAAATTTCTGTCATAAATATAATATCACGGTTGATCAGAATTCATTCGCTTCCATAATAAGAGCCATCCCTATTCCTACATTAAATCTAATTCAAGAAATTGTTTCGAACTCTCATTCAGTCTCCCCTACTCTTCCTCATCTAGTAGCTGGGAACTTCGACTTCAAGAGTGTTAAAACTCCTAATAAAACAATTAGAAAAATGCTTGATGATATTTCACACCCTTCACTGCCTTTCAGAAATTCCATTAAACACATTTTCTCCATAGATATTATATACTCATTACGTTCTAAATACCTCAAATTTCCTATAACTCCAAAAGCCAAAGAAATCCATTATAGAGTTTTAAATGATGTATACCCATCTGGGGAATTCTTACGACAGAGATGTGGTTTTGAAACAAATAAGTGTGTAATTTGTGATGATGTATAAACCTCTGTTCATTTATTTTTTCAGTGCATTTACTCTGAAGCTCTCTGGACTGATATCCATGACTGGCTATACACAAAGATACGTATTGAACCTTTTTCTGAGAACGATGTCATTTACGGTGCCATATTAGATAACACTGAATGGGACTTTCTGGTAAATAACATAATCATTGTAGCTAAATTTTACATTCACAAATGTAGATATGGAAAGGTGAAGCCTAGATTCTATGCATTTCATAACGAGTGCCTTTCTTTCTCTAAAGCCCTTAAATTTATGAAAAGTAAACATGCAATGAAACTCCTTAATCTTTTTGAAAAGTATGATTTGAAAACAAAGCCCTAGCTCTGTCTCTTTTTTGTTCATTTAATTAATTAATTTATTTTTTGTTTGATTGCTCGTTTCCTTCACAAATATTCTTGCTCTCTATGCAAAGTCTCTTTTGTTGTTTGTTTTTTTTGCACCTGATCCCGGGTAATGTAAAACAAAGGAATTTATGCCATGTTGTTTGTAAATGAAAAAGTTCAATAATTTTTTTTTATTCTGTTTTCCGGGGTGGGGGGTGGGGGGCGTGGGGGGGGGGAATACAACTTCCGGTTCTGCGCTTAACTTGAAATTCCAAATTAATATTCACAATTATATAACTGCTGTAAAAAAAACTTTTAAAGCTAGTTCACATTGAATGAGAAAGTTTCAGACTATGTACTTTGAAATCTACTGTGACTTTCGAAATAAACTTGTTTAACACCCAGAAAAAAAAATTCGTGTCGCTGTCCAGCCGTTGGAGTAAGGTCTAGCTGCAGACTTCTGCTCTGCTGCTCGAATGGTTTTATTTCGCGGAGACAGGACTTATTTCTCCCAGCCAATGAAATTTCAGATTACCACCTAGACCAATAGTACACAGCTTTCTTTCATTTTGACCAATAGTGTTTAAGATTCTTGTATTAACCGATGTTTGCTATTAAACTCTTTTAGTTTAGTTATTTGTTCTTTTAATAATTGACAATTAAATTAGTATCTATTAGTTATTTAGATATCTATTAATTATTATTTTTATTTCCTTAAATTATATTTTATCTAAATTCAGGGTGGATCATATTAGTAAGCCAATTAGTTAATACCTCTCTTTAACTCACACCACAGATTTTCAATAACTTTCAGCTCTGTGCACTGAGATGGCCGTTCCAGAATGTTCTGCTTGTTCCTCTGCATGAATGCCTTAGTAGATGTTGAGCAGTGTTAGGGTTGTTGTCTTGTTGAAAGATCCAGCCCGGTGCAGCTTCAGCTTTGTCACTGATTCCTGGACATTGGTCTCCAGAATCTGCTGATATTGAATGGAATCCATGCGTCTCTCAACTTTAACAAGATTCCCAGTCCCTGCTCTGGCCACACAGCCCACAGCATGATGGAACCACCTACCATGGACCCACCACGCTTTTGCGTGACGTTCATCAGCAGCCTCTCCTTATTCTGCTGTACGCAGGATTCACTATTTCCCTCTATCCAATTGTCTCTCTCTCTCTCTCTGCATTTTTTAATCACAATCGTTTATTTTTGCTTATTTTAAACATATTTTGATCATTTATTGAATTCTTTTTAATATTTCAATTTTTTTGTTTTTGTGAAGCACCTCGTGATTTCTATCTTGAGAGGTGCTACAGAAAAGATCACTTTCTTTTGTTCTTTCTATGTTTTACTGTAGGTAGCAGGTGTTTTTCTTGGAATGCTGCATTCTTCCTCCTCCATGTATAACACATCTTGTTCTGCCCAAATAACTCTGTTTTACTTTCATCAGTCCTCAGCACCTTATTCCATAATGAAGCTGGCTTGTCAACATGTGCTTTAGCATACCTCAAGGCTTCCTCTGCATCACTCTCACATAGACAGCATCTCCTTGTGCACTGTAAAAACAGATTTTGATTCCACTCAAATCATCATTTTCACATTATTTAAATGTTTCTAAATTATTAACATTACTTGTTATTCTGAAGTTAGCTGAGCTGTTTCATGTCCTTTCTTATTGAAATTCTCAATAGGGTTGTACACCTGCAGAGGCAAGATACAGAATTAGACACTTGACACTATTTGACGTATTCTCCTTTTGTGATTGACTCCATTTGTTTTACACAGATGAAGGCACGATCATGCTGGAAATTATGCCACCATTTGCTAAATGATTGAAATAAATCAGAATAGGTGAAATCCAGTAAGGGGAAGTCATTTTTCAGTTAGGGTTTGGTCAAAACACTCAATTTCATTTCATTTAAAATATTTCACCGATAAAAATGTTTCACAACTTTTTAGCAACTTGCCACATGAGAACAAACTTCAAACCATTTTTTTAATTAATAAAGAAATTGTCCGCGAGGGCATAATGATGCAAGGTCAAAGGTCGACCAGTTTCACGTTTTCCGGTCGTTTCATTTATCCGCGCGCGTCAGCCAAGTGGATGTTGTCGGTTAAATCAAGTGTATCTGTGACGGAGAGACAAGAGCGGGCTTCCATTACTCCAGGGCTGAGGAAAGAGGAGGGACCTGACCGGAGCGGTTAATGTCCGCTGTGGGTTCAGGCAGAACGGAACAGCTCAACCTCGCAGCAGCTGAGTTCCCGTCCCGACCGGACCAGACTCTGCTGCCTCCTGAAATCCTCTTGGGGGTTTCTTCGTCTCGGTCCAGAGTCCCGAGCAGCGCAGCGCTGCTTTTACGCGTTTCTCCAGATTCCGTCCCCGCTGCGCTGCGCTCGTGAGCGGCTCCAGAGCGTGCGGCGCAAACCGCGCTTTTGCGCTTCCGTCATTTAGGTTTCCCTGAAAGGTCGGACTGAAGAGCAGCTGGACTTTGACTCATGGGAATTTAGTGTCGTGACATGTTTTCAGGACCCGGCGCGTCCACAGGAAAATGGTGAGTGGAGTCTTCTTCATTCCTTCAGTCTTCTAAACGCGCACCGGGCTCGGTTCTGTTCAGAGGTCGAACTCAGTAAAGTCATATGTCAAATAACTTGCTCAGCTGATGAAATGTTCCATTTGTGTCACGAAATCACCTTTTAGCCCATAATGATCCTCCAAGTGGAGGTATTTATAAATTCAAACTATACATTTATGTTTCTTTTTGAGTTAAACTTGCTGTTCCTGTGACAGCATTAATGCATTAAATCAACGGCATTTTCTTTCTATGACTTTACTTTTACTCCCAGTGTGAAATGTTATTCATGCTCTGCCATGAGCTGGATTGGTTTTCCATACATTTGACTGTTGAATCAGTCAATCAATAGCTGAGTGATCTGTTAAAACGGAGGGCTGCAGATGTTCAGAGTGAACTGACAGTCAGATGTCACATGCTGCATCCCTTCTGAAGCAGGAGGCGGTGGGAGCTGCTGATGAGTGACCGGACAGGGATGGATAATCTGTTTTATTGTTGGATTATAGGAATGTGTGTCATCTCTAGCTCATCTGATGAGACTTGAAGCAAAAAATTGAAAAACAAAAAACTCAGTTTCTGAATCTGCTTAGATGAATTTGCCATCGGATGTCAGTTAAAGATGATCAAGCTGTGATTTCCCCTGTTTGGATGAAAAGTGACATATTGCTGAACTGAAGCAGACTTTGGAGCTCTGAATGGACAGCAATAATTCATAACCTCATTCAGATGCAGGAATAATTGAAGTTCAGACTGTATTTTCAGGCATAGACAGACATAGTTTATTATTTTATACACATGCATGTTTTCCATCTTCCCAGAACATTTCTATCTTGTAAATATTTTACATGTGATCAAATTCAGTCTTTCATGGAAACTTTTATGAGTCAGTCATGCAGGTGCTCATCGATCAAAGGTTCAGGTACAGCGTGTCTTGCTCTGATGCTGATTGGAAGATCACAGCTTTATAAGTTACAGTTCACAGTCTGCAGCTCGCCCCCAACAGCGATGTGAGATGGACTAGAGTGGAACAGGCAAATAACTTCAGGTGTCAGCGTGTGGCTCAGACCATTTCCCCCTCCTTTTCTTTGAAATCTGTATGCATGTATTTTTCTGCCCTGCCTCAACTAAACTCGTTTTCCCCCAACCATCACTTTCAGAGTGAAGCATAAACACAATCTCTATTATTAGAGCAGCCGAGAAATATAGAACAAAATCATGCTTATCATTTCTTCCTGAATGCAACTGAAATTGTGAAATTCTCTTCCCCAGTCTAACATTTAGCAGCTCTTCGGCAAGTTGCTGTGAGTATATTGACTTTTCTAACTTTGCTCTTTGGAGCTCAGGTAGAGCTGTGACATTTCTGGAATTCATGCAAGTGCACACATTCTATAATATCAGTGTGTATGAGCCTGGCATGCTGTTTTGTTCACACTGAGCTCTGAAGGGTTATTTCACCCTCTTTTAGTCCAAATCTCACATTTAAAGCGCTTTGGAGTCCTTACTCTGAGAGGCGCTATACATGTGCGGGTCATTTATCATTCATTTATCATTTATGTCATAAAACAGTAAAATTAATGAATATTCATAACATTATACAATCAAGGAAAAAGGGCAAAGCAAAGTCTAATGTTCATCCACAGACTTAGATTTGGAATCACAATGGCAGCTATGTCGAGATGTAATGATGGACAGAAGACGTTTGAGGTTTCATTTGGGGGATCAAAATATGTGAAGGGAGGCATTTCGATGGTTTTCTGAATTGGTTACAAAAATCAAAGAAAATGGTGCATGGCATGGCTTTTTATAACTCAAATCAAATGTTCTAATTCATCTAGATTCGTAATTTATTACCAATAAACTAAAGCTGGATCATAATCAACTGCAGTGTAAAGACAAAAACAGGGCAGGATTTTAATTTCTACTAAATCAACTGAAACTGTGATCAAGTTGTTTTTCCTCCATTCAGATGTTTTTAGTTTTTTTTTCCTAATGAAGGAGGAGTTCAGCATTATGCCATTGTAGCAATTTTATAGCAGCTATTTTTAGACAATTCCCAAAACGTCAGGTTAGGTTTATTTCTAATTCAGACTCAAAAACATTCCCGCCTGTTCTCCTTATAGAGCATTAAAAGATTCATGGAGCAGGAATGCTTGCTTCTGTACGTACTCAGCAGTCCACCCATGGTTTAGAGTTTACACTCTTGGCTAGGAGGTTGTATTGGTTTATTTACTGTATTCACAGGGAAAAAAACGGTCGTTATTTTTTTCTATCCTTCTGCTGCTGCAGCTGTTACAGAACCAGGTCACGGGAGGAAGCTTTATCAAAGATCCCTAAAGCTCTCTGTGCCCCCAGTTACCTCCTCTAGCTCATCCCGAGGGACTCGGAGGCATTCCCAGTCCAGCTGTGAGATATTTTCCCTCCAGGAAGTTCTAGGTTTGTCTCCATGTCTCCTCCTGGTGGGACATATCTGAAACACATTCCTTAGAGAGTGTAGATGCCCAGACCTCAACGTGCTGTTAGGGCCACACATTCTCACATCCAAAGTGTCAAAATATGACGCGTGTGACCAAGCCTCAATATATGACAATTCGGGACGCCCCAGCGCGTCAGGATACGACGATCAGGGACACGCTGGGTCACGTGGCTCCGCTGGCGTCACTGTTTGAAGCGCGCGGTTACACGGACATTATTGGACTATTTAACCTTCCCCTCACCCCAATCCTAACCTTAAGGTCCATAAACTGTGACCTTAAGGTTAGGATTGGGGTGAGGGGAAGGTTAAGTAGTTCACAAGTAGTTCTAATGTCCGTCTCACCACCAGCGTCAGATACCGATGCTCTGGGACGCTGCGTCAGCTGTTTGTCCCTGATCGTTGTCTCCCGACGCGCTGGGGCGTCCCGAATCGTCATATGTTGAGGCTTGGTCACACGCGTCATATTTTGACGCCTTGGGTGTGAGAATGTGTTGCCTAGGAAGAGAAACAACTCTGTTTTGAGCTTTTTATATGTTTATTCTCTGTATTTCATCCAACTGCATCACTTGGTTCTTTTTTTCAACACAGCACAAGAGTTGCTTTTACCTTGTTTTTGCTGATGTTTCGACTACCACTGTAGTGTTCCTCAAAGCTTCGCCGCTGTTGGCGGCGTCACTTCCTACTCCGTTTATCAGCGGGCAGCAGAGAACGTGTCGCCTTCTGTTGCCTGCGCTTTCCTCACTGATGACACAGCATGCATGATCTAATGTGTAGACCCCATAGGAAGCCTAAGTCTCCTCCCTTTCCGGTCGGCTCATGGGCCCGCGGAAGAATGAAAAAATGAATGCAAGTCGACAGGGCTAAAAACGCAATTTTCTAATCCGCTTTGCCTTACGCTCTGGACCGTACATATGTTGTACTTCAATTTAAATGACAACTAATGATGGTTGTTTTGACCACGCCTGTCACGCCTGATTTTTCAGCTTGTAAATGTTCATAGTTAGCATGACTACAAATTAGATATCGGCACGTCGCATATATGACATCACCACAGAATCTCTTCTCCTCTAGTGTAGCTGCTACTTTCCACATGGTCAGATTTATGGTAGTTCTTTTCTCCTAAAGGAAGGATTTTAAGTGCCCTGCGATGGACTGGCTCTCTGTCCAGGGAATGCGCCACCTGATTGCCCATTTACCGCTGGAAATAGGCACCTTTACAGAAGGTAAAGGTTTTTGATGATGAGGGGTTTGATGGCACCCAGTTGGGTACACATTGTACAGAGCAGCTGGAAACTTTGAGTTTAGAACATAAAGTCCACAATAGGTTCTCATTTTGTTGACACTTTTTTTTCTTTCTCCATTCATCTCTACGTTTAATCTGCCTTTCACTAAACATAACAACAAACTACAAACATGAAACATGGAACGTAAACGCTATGGATTGATTTGTTGTCGGTGATGTTTTCTGATTATGTTATCACAAAATCTACTCTGAAAACTTGTGTTTCATTAACCAGAGTGGGGCTGCACAGTGGAACAGTGGTTAGGGTTAAGTTTAGGGTTGTGGCAAGAAGGTCCTGGGTTCAAATCCTGGCCTGGGGTCTTTCTGCAAGAAGACTGCATGTTCTGACACGCCTACAAAACATAATTCAAATACCTACACTTATTAGACTCATGTGACGCGCCATATGGCATCCTACAGTTTTTCCAAAAATGTCTGCTAACAAATCCATGAACAAACATCAACACAAATGAACAAACACATTTGCACCAGTTCCCTTAATTTACATCAGGGCTTGCATAGCAGCTCATCTCTGCTTTTACAGCTGCACTGTTTGATCACATTGTATTCATGTTACTTATTGAATAAATATGGTTAAGTTCAAAAATCTCCAATAGGACTGTATAATGTTTGACCAAAAACACGGTCACAGCGTAAGTCTTGTTAATAGAGATAATACTGTTGGTTGTGCTAAATCCACGTTGTTCCTTCTCCTTGTGTCAGTCCCCGTTTAAACCAGGTGTGAGACCCCAGGAGCAGTAAGAATCAGATCATCATTCAGATAGACTTACTGATTGAGTATCAGTTATGATTTATTGCAAATCAACCAGTCTGGTGTATGTATTGGAAATGCCATTCCTTAATTATAGCTTTATGAACGAGCTTCAATATTTTTACCAAGCTAATTGGTGCATTATGATAAATGAGCAGTTCTTACTTCTTTCTCACACATCTTTGAAGTTGTAAACTTATTAACATGATACAATTGTGCTTTTCAGAGTCAGAGGACTTAAAAGCACTTTACACTGTTGTGAATCCTTCATCCATTAACACACATTCACTCATTAGTGGTGATGAACTACATTGTGGCCACAGCTGTCCTGGGGCACACTGACAGAGGTGACGCACACGATTTCTTACCAGATATTTGTTCTTATTGCTGGAAATATTTAAAGTAACAGAGGTCAGCTTGTCTACTCGCCTGCTGTGAGTGGACCAGAGGTTTAC